ATGCATTCATTTCAGAATATATATATATATATATACATGCATCTATATACTTGTGTGTATAGATAGAGTGTATAAATGCGTAAAAAAAAATACAGAAAACCCGGTTTTCTAAGGATGCGACATACGCGAAGGTGCGAACAAAGCACTGGGATGTCGCAAAAAGACACAAGACCTGCGGGCAGAAACAGTCCCAGTTCTGTGCAGTTCTGTGCAGTTCCGTTCGAGGCTCGCCTTGAACTCGACTGGCGAGGCTGGCACATCTCACAGCAGCATGAGCCTTGTCAACAAGAAATACTCGGACAAATGTACAATAAATGCAACAAAAATGATACAAAAAGTGGTCAACATTTCACATTACCTGTGAGGCTGAGTTTGATCTAGACAGTCTAGACACCTGCTTGTTGCAGGCATGTAGTATATAGCGCTCGAGACACGGTCGTGTATACAACCCAACTTCGAGTGGTTTGACTGACGCCACTTTCCCAACCCATTTGCAAGTCTGGGCTCGTCACATACATGTCTGATGCCTGACCAAAGCTTCTTCGTTTCACCAAAAAAAATCGGATGCTGTTGATGTAATTCCTGTTTGCTACACATCTCTGATCTTGCTACGTTCCGAAATTCCATATTGGATTTTGTTTACAGGAAACCCCTACACTGGATACTCACCCTCACACTTACATAGCCTCTGACGACAAAAAAAATATCCCGGCAAGGGGCCCCAGACAGTGTGGGGGGGAGTAAAAGGATAATGTATTATAATTATAATGTTGATGATGATGTTAATTAATGTGGATGATGATGGTAATTAATGTTGATGATGATGCTGATGATGATGGTGATGTTGATGATGCTGGTGATGATGATGGTGGTGATGATGATGATAATGATGATGATGCTGATGAAGAGGGTGATGACGGCGATGATGAGGATGATGGTGATGAGGGCGATGAGGGTGATGATGATGATGATGATGATGGTGGTGGTGAGGATGATGGTGATGATCATGATGATGAGGATGATGATGATGATGATGATGATGGCGATCAGAGGAAGATGATGATGTTGATGTTGATGTTGAAGAGGAGGGAGATGATGATGTGGAGGAGGAGGAGGAAGAGGAGGAGGAGGAGGATGTTGAGGAGGAAGGCCGATCCCAAGACCAGGAAGCACGCTTTGTGCAAGCCTGCGCAGTCGAAATGCAGACGGACATTGCGCAAGAGCCATTTTGCATGGAAAATTACAGAAAAAATGGCCGCGGGCACCGCCGGGGACAGTGGAAACGCAGATGGACATTGCCCAACAGGAAAAATGGCCGCAGACACCTCCGGGGACATCGTTTTGTGCGAGCCTGCGCAGTCGAAATGCACATGGACATGTCACAAGAGGCATTTTGTGCGGAAATTCACAGGGAAAATGCCGGACGCTTCCGATACCACCTCGATTGAACACCGGGCCTTAACACCTACCATAAGAACCCCTCAGTGTGGACACACTGTTTGGGGAATCAAAGACAGCCTCAACCCCACCATTTTGACATGATTCATTAACCTGGCCTCAACTGTTATTTTTTGTTTGTGGGTACCTAGGTTGGCATAGCAGACTGTACATTTTGAATTTTGATACTAAAAATCATTGATTCCCAATTTTTGTACAATTTTCTTGCAAACCAACTCATCGACCACTGAGCTGAAGGCCTTGGTGGAACGAAGAGTTCCCAAATGTTCCACCAAACCAAAGAAGAGTTCCCATGCCAGCCTGGCAAACGGTCACTGAGAACACAGCCATGCACGATACATCACCCGCAAGTGTCATGGAAACTCCGTTGCGCACAACCTTTGAATCCGGTTTCCAAACAAGCAGAATTGGCAGCAATTGGACTCTAAAGACTGATTTTTTTTCTCTCTCCGTGGCTAGGCTACAAATAATCAGAATGCAAATGCAGAATGACGACCAAACAAATGTAAGATCCGCAATGTTTACAACTGATTCGCACCTCCATTCCCCATGTTTTTCGGAGGCAAGCCCCAACTGAAAGCACCTGCCCTGTGCAGCCACGTTTAGGTCAGACCCAGCAAAACAATTGAAACTGCAAGATCTGAACATCGGTTGCGACGGCCGAAAAAAATGAAGGTTGCGAGAACAGACTAATTCATCAGCACGAGCCATCACGAGCCTCCTCGTCATTGCCTAATGGAATAGTTTTTCTCAACATTGACAGACCTCACGGACAACATAAAACAGGTCCATGTCTGTCTTCAGAATTGAAAATCAATCAAACAAAATCTCTAGATGCAATTTATTTTAAACCGAACAACAGGTCGGGGCCTGTAGCACCATCACCGTGCGGTGAATTCAAAATTGAAACATTTTCTTTGACATTTTCCCTGAGACTGACACATGCGTTGACGCGTTTGCATGATTCGTCTGTGTCCTCGCTGATGAACAAACTCAAAATATGCCAGAAAGTGTGTCCAACTCATTAATTGTTAATTTCAAAACGTAAACATACCCTGACACATATTATCATATTAAAACATCAATGAATCACATGTGATGTGTCAGCAAACTACCCACGCCCGTGTGGTCCTTGCCGCATCCAACATCTTGGATTGTCCGTTTCTTCAAACTGCACGTTGTTGCCATCAGGTTTCATGGGAAAATATGGGAAACTGCCAAATTTTACGATCGTTTCCTGCTAACATTCCAATTTCTGTTTCGGGACTGCATCGGGACGTGTTTTGTGAATGATGTCAGTTCCTGTTAATAGTAAACTGAGAAGGGTTTCCAATCAACAAAAACACACACCTTGAAATTTTGGTGAGTCACAACCAAAACCCATCATGGTTGCAAGCATCCAGTCAGGCCCATGGAACATTTGCATATTTTTAACCAACCACATGCCCCCAAACGGCTGCAGTTTATGATTCCAACGTGGATGCGAACCAAACAACCACCCCAAGCCTCAAATTGAAAGAATTTTACGCATTGGGTAGTTCCAAACAATATGTAACATTCCCAAAACTTCATTACAGGGTCCAAAAATCACAAAAACACTCCAGCATAGTGACAACATAGTGACAGCACAAAACACATCCCAACACCTTGCCAGGAAATTCACAACCAAAATAGAACCCAATTTCAAAAAAACATGTGATGCAATTTCCGCAACGTAAATTCAAAAACTTTCAATACCTCCGCTTCATTGTTGTGTACAGCATTGGCTATTGACCTCGTGCACTCTTTCAACCTCGATTCATCGTTCATCAAACATCCGCACTTTCCTGGTAGGCAATCTTCCGAGTTACGGATGATTTTTACTCAATGAAGCGTCGTGTGAAACTGTACATCACATAACAATACATTCACGAAGGGCGGTGTGAAACTTTACATCACATATCAATACATTCATGAAGGGCGGCGTGAGACTCTACAGCACATCACAATACATTCATGAAGGCGGTGTGAGTTACATCACATAACCATACATTCATGAAGGGCGGTGTGAGACTTTACATCACACATCAATACATTCATGAAGGCCGGTGTGAGATTGCACATCACATAACAATACATTCATGAAGTGCGATGTGAGACTTTACATCACATAACATAACAATACAGTCATGAAGGGCGGTGTGAGACTGTGCATCACATAACAATACGTTCATGAAGGCCGGTGTGAGATTGTACATCACATAACGTTAAGTTTCTGCCTGACGACCCTCACGAAAGAAACAGCAAAGCACATGCACACTTTTGACAACATGAGGTTGGCGAATCAGGTCGCAGTGCCTGGCTTTGGGCATGGCACCCCAACCCCGCATTGGGTGGCTGAGGGTGGGACGTGAAATTTTCAACAACAAAAACATGTTGAACATGACAACATGGAATCAACATATGCCTGTGTCACATTGACAATTGACGTTCACAATGAACTTGAGAAGGAAAATGCGTTCGGTTGGTTCATGCATATTCACCACATCAGTCACAACTACAACCTTAAATTGTTTGCCGTTGGTTTGCTTCATTAAGCTTTTGCCTGACGACCCTCACGAAAGAAACAGCAAAGCACATGCACATTTTTGACAACATGGGGTTGGCAAATCAGGTCGCAGTGCCTCCCCAATTTCCGTCCGACATGATTTGCAACATCGAACGGGGGTCAAAGGGAATTTTGACACATCCACTTTGGATCAAGGAAGTAACATCGAAACGCGAGGGGTTGTCGGCAATGTTTGACTCAGTTGGGACTCTGGTTATCCAAGTGTTCCAGGCCGCTTCAAACTCCAGCTGAAGACATGCATTGAGAATGGGCAAGGCGTTGGCACTGGTGGTATGACAGGAAATGAATGAGTCCCTTACACCATCGTTGTCAGTATGGATCACCACGTTACATCCAGCCAATTTTCCCTTCCATAGACACATTGCGCAGAACACCGCGAAGAATTCACATTCGAAAATGATTGCCTTTCTCTTTGACGCATTGATTTTCATCAAAACCTCGTCGGTCAATTCTTCTGAGAAGAAACTCACCTTTTCTCCCACATGGTTCACGAGAACTGCACCTATTCCAGCTGTAGTTCTTTCGGCATCAGGTTCGTGCGATGCATCTGTAAAAATGAACGACGTTGAGGTACTTTTTGTACTCAAACTTCGGGGAATTTTCATCTGGATCAATCCAAAAAATATGGTAGGCGACGACCGAAGAGCTTCAGGCATCCGTCCGTCTCCAGCTTCGTATGCGCGCTGCGTTACTGAAGCTGAGCAACGCTTGGCCACTCGACCAAAAACTTGGCCTGAGGCGAATTGCATCCGGCCCCGCAGCCTCAATGCGTCCTTCTTGGACATTCGACCAGAGTCGGTGAAGGCTGCAATCGTCTCTGACAACTCAGCTGTCCGTTTTTCAGTGTTGTCGATCAGAGAGAGGCCTTGGTGCAATCTGCTGACATCAATTGCTACACCCAGCGCAGTGACCTTTGGAGAAAATGGTGGTGCTTTCGGGCCGTCTTCTGCGAATTTCCAGCCCAACATCCGCAGCACTGCCTTCACTGTAAAATCCACAGACTGCGATTCTGATTCAGTGGCCAGGGAAATGAAATCATCAAAATAATTTGTTGTGACTGTCAGGAAAATGGTGGTCAGGATGGTCCACATGCTGTGTGCCGCCCTCAAAAATGAATGTACGGACTTCACGCTACCAAATGGGAGAGCTTTGAGGCGGAACGCCCTCTGATGATGTTTTGGTTCGCCAAGCTAACCCTCCGAGAATGGATCCATCCCATTGAAGAGACTGAGGAGCAGTCCTCTGAAGGTCCGCATATCTGAATCCAGAGAACAACAAAAGTAGGAAAGCCCCTAAAATCAGAATTTCGGCCTGCGAAGTCTCCCTGACTAGAATGTGCCGCTCAAACTGTGAAAGGATGTACAAGCTGAATGGAAGGCTTTCCCGTCTGTCATGTGGAACCTTTGATTGAAATGATGTCAAAAGCGACCCAAATGCAACTGCAACACATTCGATCTGTAACTGTTTGTATCCCCACCTGAGTGCCTTCAGAATCATTGAAGCAGATGACATGGGCTCGGAGGATGTGCAAGATAGCCACCCTGCAACTAAGATGTCAGCTAAGTGCATCTCTGTCAACCCTTCCAGCTGAAGACGCAGGTCCAGCATCAACGCATGAAAGTTCTGCAACGCGGACAGATATTTCAACAAAGTCGAAGCTGCAAAATTGTTGAGAAGATGCACATCGTGCTGCTCTCTAAAATTGCTCTGCTGAAGCTGTTGCAACATAGGGGAAAAAGCCATACACAACGCTGTAACCGAATGCCATAGTGACATCACCAGTGCAGAATCGGATGCACATCTGACTCGAGTAACTGCTGCAGAACCCGGACCCTGTGAAGCAGTGGCAGTCCGTTGAGGATGGGACCGTTTGCTCTCTTTGGCAGGGCGCTGCAAAGGAAATGCACTCTCCCCAAACTGATCGGGTTCAGGAGGTTCTACAGGAATTTGCAAACTCCGCGGAATACTCAATTGCACTGTCGGTGCTGACAACCCCTGATGAAATTCAGTCTGAGGTGCAAAACGATGTTGAGGCCTGGACGGAGCAACAATTGCCCCCGGTAGATTGACCTGCTGAAATCCTAGCTGTTCCTGGAGCGCGACAGGTCATTGCGATACTGTGGAGCTGCCAATGGGGCTGACTTACTTTGAGGTTTCAGTGAAACAACTAATGAATTCTGAATTCCACTCTGTGGCGATACTTCATCAAAAATGACGAAAATGACTGACCAGTCTTCGCCGAGGTCCGTGCCAAAAAGAAAGCCCGATGTCTCCGAGTTGTCCGTCATCAAAGAGATGACAGGTCAAATCAACAAGTAAAGCTTGGCAAACGGAGTTGAACTCCGATGCAAATCAGTACACTGATACAAATCAATCATCCATGCTAATGATCCTCATTGCAGTGAAAAGAAAGCACAGTGTGGGCCACCAACGATGCCCGACATCGCTCCGCCCGGACCGACGGGTACGAGTTCACACATACAAACTGAAAACAAAAACATTGATGTTTGCTGAGACGTGTTCTGTGAACATGAGAAACGACATGTGTCACCCTGAAAGCAGAACAGCATGAAACCAACTGAAAACGCCAAAAAGCTTTAAAATTCAAACAACAGCAAAAGCAATAATGAAATGAATGCCACCTTGAGCCAAAATGTATTGGTCATGACATATAATGAAATGCCCCCTACATTATTATGGCAAAACTAGTGCACAATACGCACGCATGCTACATACCCATTACTACAAACGCATTACAAACTTAATTGTTTCTCAACGCTCCTAACGTCACTCTCACTCTCATCCAACTCACTTCAATTCTTCCTTTTCTTTTTTTCAACTCTCCCATTTGATATTAGGCACTTCACTTTTCTCGGGGACATATCAGTTGAATCCATAATTCATCCATCTGCAAAATTTGCGCATCTATACATTCACAACCTGACACAGGTTGTATCCCATGCAGTTGAAAACATCCACCACACAGGTAGCACAACACGACCATTACACTGCTATGCACATAGAATGGCACTCAGTCAGGCGCATTATGCAGAATGCTCAGAGCTGCAATACGGCAGAATCATCAATACGGCAGATGCATCAATACGGCAGATCAAAGCCATATACGGCAGAATCATCAAATACGGCAGAAAATTCAATGCCATAAACGAGGTAGCCAAACACGGCGAATTGCAGCAAAAACCATACCATAACTGTTATAGAAAAGCCCAAAAAGGGCGCCATATACCATGCAAATACTGTACCGTTGTGGGACGTCCACAAACTCAAAGAAAACCCATGCATATAAATCGAACTCAAACTCAAGGAATGCCATGCATACATTGGAAATTGAAGAGCGAACGCCAAGGTAGCTGTAGAGACGATATATAGGGACCCAAACTCAACGGAAGGGGTTCCACTGTTGGGGCTCATCCAGGCCAGCCAACCGTCTCAACAGGAAAGCACAAATACCCTCAGCATCGAATTGGGTGCCATCGACCGGCCAATAAACCTGATGCTCAATTTCGGAGGCCGCTTGGGGATGAATCTCGGTGAGAAGAGGCCAGAAACTTCCAATAAACTTCTTTGGCGGCCACTTTCCAAACAATGGATCATCAGGTTCAAGCCGGACCCATCTGTTCCCATCGAGGAGAAGGGGAACCAAACGACCATTGCAGTAGCAAGGGCAAGTCTATATGCAACTTCCTCTGAATCACGTCCTTGTAGATCAGCACGAGGTAGTGGCACCAGGCGTTCGCATACCAATATATGGAATGCACTTGTTGTACTGGGCGGTGAGGAGCGCCTTCAAGTTTCTCGGGTTCACACAGAGATACCCAACAGTGAAATTCTTGAACGACTTGTGCCGTATAGTCAGGTTTGCCTAAAGGCACGGATCTCCTCAGTCGTAAAAGAGACATATCTTCGGTCGAAGGCATCAGCTTGAAAACCAACCTGGGATATTCCACAGAGCAGTAGACCTTGCGCCAAGCACCTGTAGTATCACCACCAGACACCAAAGTAAGAGGCCTGTAGATATATCCATCTTCACGGTTGAACCGAAACTGACCTTGTGATTGATCTGGAAAGCGTTCAATCAGTTTAAACGGAGTCCGTCGAGTTCTACTCCAAGGAGGGTCAACTAAAATACCACCAAGCACCAGCTTGAAAGGGCCCTTGATTGAATGCAGTAGTGGCATACGCGGTGACATCAAAGAAAACCGTCGAGGCATAGTATTGGCGTCCTCCAGGACTTCATTGGAGCTCTCATCAGAAGAGCTGACATCACGTGGGATAGGCCGAGCTCGTGCCTTGGACGAAGAAGCAGCCATATGTAATACAACCTGTAAACCAGGATGGGAGGGTGTGGGAAAAAATCAAGAAAACATCCACACTGTTTCAACTTGATCCAAAATGTACAACATCCAACATATCACCAGATGCTACCAGGTAGTCCACGCAGTCCAAGTCCATAAACAACTCATCTCATCCACCAGAACATCGATCACTGAAACATCACACATCAACCCAGCACATCAAAACAAAACAAATAAAAACTTCGACCAAGATTTCCAGTTTCGACAAGCCCACGTTTCAAAATAACAAATCAGAACAAGATCACCAATCCACCATGTTCCCATTCTAGACTCATCGTTGTACACCTGCAGGGACTACGTTACATACTACTAACAGACCGACATCCACTTTGTTGAAGATGATTTCATCACAAGGTTGAGGATCCAGATTCATTAGCACACAGGTATTCATCACCTTGCGTTGCATACACAGAAGGTTTTCACCACCTTCGTCCTCACCTTGGCATTCCTTGTGTGGGGGATTCATCTCCCTCCTTTTATTGTGCACCGGGTTTCTCTTTTAACCCTTTACGTCTTAGTCATAAAACTCTATTGGCAAGCCAACAAGAAGCTTATGGCGTAACTAGTGCACAATACGCACGCATGCTACATACCCATTACTACAAACGCATTACAAACTTAATTGTTTCTCAACGCTCCTAACGTCACTCTCATCCAACTCACTTCAATTCTTCCTTTTCTTTTTTTCAACTCTCCCATTTGATATTACGCACTTCAATTTTCTCGGGGACATATCAGTTGAATCCATAATTCATCCATCTGCAAAATTTGCGCATCTATACATTCACAACCTAACACAGGTTTTATCCCATGCAGTTGAAAGCATCCACCACACAGGTTGAACAACACTCCCACTTCACTTACGACAAAATCACCATTGTACCAACGACTGTGCAATAATACATACCGGTATCGTAGCTTCGAATAACTCGAGACCAGAATAATCATCTCTGCTCGGACCATCAGCAATATTCGAATCGGAGGGCACCCTCGCAAACCAAGAATATGTAGGGCCCTTCATCTCGATAGACTCCAAGCTCCGCAACAACTTTCTCCACTGTCTCTCGGAAGATGTCCCCTTGACAAGAGATCTCATCAACGGATATTGTCCACAAAGAAAACAACCCAACGACCTTTTATCCCAATGATATCCCGCCAAAACGACTTATCTATATGCTTCTTGCCATCCATCCACCTGTTCATGAACGACCTATCGAGACGTCCACCGAAATACTGCGGTGTTGCCGCATATCAAAACACCTCCAACCAAGGCCACATACGAGCCATCGTCAGCAGACTCGCAAGCCCCATCTGCAAAAACAAATACCGGCGCCTCAGAGTCGCACAAATTGAGCTCATGCGGGGGATAAAAACTTTTTTTCCGTCCAACGCCATATAGCTCTCGCTAGGTCGTTAAGCAAGCCGGAAGCCAGTTGCAGATTTCAATTCCGCGAATTAATGCAATGGCAACATCATAATATCGACAATGTGCACCAAAAGTAGGACTGAGTAGGATCGTCCATTGAGCTATCACCGTGCAAGGACAAGAAACCAACACAAACCAAACAAGAAACACAAGGCAAGAGCAAAAAACAAAAACACACTTTTTTCCTTCCAACGCCTCTTAGCTTCCCCGGGTCTTGTTGGCGTTTCGTTTGGGGCTGCTGAATTTCTTGACTCCTGTCTGCGTGGACTGTTTGTTTTGGTTGCTTGCATTTGGTGCAGGTGGCTGTTTGTTTTGGACAGATGTCGTTGACACACTTCCTGGATCTGGGTTGGTGGGTTGGTGCCTAGAAAGTGTATTTTTCGTAAAACTTTGACACACAAAGTTAGATCGCGAAAACCGCTTTCAAACCTCTCGTGCACAAAGTAAACCCAAACCAAAACACAAACAAACGGTGGTCGTTTCGCGTTTCTGCTGTGTCAGCTTTCCCAGGCCGTCTCACGGCGACACACTCACACCCTTTTCGAGCTCGCGGTCTTGAGCCAACGTTTACGTTGGGTCATAGCAGTTCCAAAAACGATTCTACTAATCTAGACACGTGCAAAAACAAACTTCTACGTGGCAAAAAACCTAAGATTGGTTTCGTGCAGTTTGGTTCTCGTGTGAAATAACTTACAACGTGCAGAAAACCTAAAAACGGCTAACTACAAACGAAAAATGGCAACTCCGTCACAACTCTTTGTGACGGAATGAGATGAGATCGATTAACTACATCACAATCACCTGCTAACTACAAAACAAAGTCCAAGCTACGCAAGTCCACAAACTACAACTACAAAGCAACTAACAACTACCTAAGTTCAAGCACAAGATCGCTACGCTAGCTATACATAGGATGATTTTTCACA